TTCTATGTTCTATGTTCTATGTTCTATGTTCTATGTTCTATGTTCTACTACTTCCTTTGGCAGCTCGTTCCATACATGCACCATCCTCTGTGTGAAGAAAATGCCCCTCAGATCCCTTTTAAGTCTTTCCCCTCTCACTTTAAACCTATGCCCTCTAGGTTTGGACTCCTCCACCCTAGGGAAAAGACCTTAGCTACTCATCCTATCTTTACCCCTTGTGATTTTATCAACCTCTTATAAAGTCATCCCTCAGCCTCCTACGTTCCAGGGAAAAAAGTCCCATCCTAACCAGCCTCTCCTTAAAACTCAAACCTTCCAGTCCCAGTAATATCCTTGTAAATCCTTTTTGCACCTTTTTCAATTTAATAACATCCTTCCTATAGCAGAGAAACCAGAACTGTATGCAGTTGTATGATTCTCAGAGAAAGCATTATAAAACAGAACACACTCCAATTTTATTAAATCTTTATGCCTCCCCACCCAAGTTGGTAGATAAACAAATTCAGGATTTTGTAAAATAGAACAGTTCAGTGAGGTTTAATCTCCTCTGAATATAACCCCAGCAGTGTTCACCACCTATGGAAGAGCAATGATTACTCTGTAAGACTATCAATCCAACATCCCGAATTAATAATCTGGAGAACAAATTCAAATTGAACTGTGGCAGTCTGAGAATAGGAATTCAGTTTTTTAAAAAAAAAAATCAGAAAATAAAAAAAACAAACAGCATTGAAAATGACCTTGGAACTGCTGGACTGTCCTTTAAAAAACAATAAATCCCAAAATATCAAATGAACTATTTCAATTATTATGTCACTAGTTTGGATTCTATTTAGGTGATACAACTTCCATGTTTTTGCTCAGTTGGTAAGTGTACGGTTTTTTTATATATATAAAAGTATAAAACTCAAAAAATGCTAACTGGTGTTAAATCTACTAAGTCACAAGTCAGGATGTATTGGAGATGAATGTGATTGCAGAGACTGTGGAATCAGCACAATAGGAAATTATAGCGGAGCATAGAACAAGCTGCCCTCAAGGACAAACTTGTATGATTCACTACTTACATGCGTCTTCAGCATTTCACCCACACTCGGTGATAACATGAGAAAGCAGACAATGGTTCCTAGAATGTGGTAGAGAGTGTACATGACTCGAGTACTTGTAGAGGTTTTAATATTTGGGCAGCAGCTGCAGCAGAGAGAACAGTCGCTGGAACCACAGCAACAGGCCAGCTGAGGGCAGAAACAGAAAAGAAAGGTTTTTAATAACTTATTGAAAAAAAATACATCAGTTGCAAATATGAACCAGCTCTTTACAAGATCAACTCTGATGGTATTAGCCAATTTGCCCATTTAATGATCTGATTTACACCCACTTAATGGTGCCAGGTTGTTACTCACTGGTATAGCATTTTCTGTGGGGAAAAATAGTTACTGGATGTAACTACATATTATGCTCTGTATCTATTCTCGATCACTTCTCTTATCTCTCCAGTTTCTCAATGGTTTGTAAACAATTGTGAACTACTAACTATATTTATGATATAGCTTGTAATCAGTAACCAAGGCAGCAGCGTCTCTTATTCTAGAAACTTTGCAATCTTTTAAGTCAGACCCAAATGGTTTGTAAAATACTTCCATTGAAAACCTTAAGTCTTGCTCAGGCTGCTCTATACCATCGATCAAATATCATTTCCTTTGGTTCAGCAAATTCCACAAGAGTCTCTGAATATAACATCTAAAACTTCTAAACACAGCAAACTTTATAGAATCAGTCACAAGACTATCTACCTGAAAGGGTCAAATAAACCTCCAACACATCCTCTACAAAAACACTGTGATAAGATTGTCCAATTTTCTCCTAGCCTTGTAACAATTTTCTCAAATAAGTTAAAATACATTTTAATTCCTTCTGCCTTGAATTTAGCTCCTCAGCAAAGATTCATTGTCAAATCAAAATCACGAACTTAATCGGCACATCTTGCTGCTTCTCCATTTTTATAATCGAATTCTTTTTCTGTCCAGTTCAAACTTTCAGACTTCCCTCTCATTGCAATTCAACGCTTTCCATTTCATGCTCTTGGCAATTCTAATTCACATTTACATATGTCTATTTCTTTCTTCCTTTTGTGTCCCCTCTCTCTCTCTCTCTCAAGGTTACCTCTCCTCATTTCCTTTTCTTTCTCTTCCTTTGGAATTCTGTTTCCAGCTATTTTATTCACAACTGTATCCTGGCTAACAACCTGCATTTTATTTTGATTGCCTTTTCCTTTTCAATATTGAGTCAATACTTCAATAACCCTCTCAACATCAATTTTTAAAAGTTTATTTCAAACTTCTCTGCTACCACTTACAAATTTACCTTTTTGTTAACTGCAGCAAAACATTCAAAGACAGGTGCTTTCTTTGAAGAAAGATGAAAACAGACATAACCATGTTAACCTTTCAAAACAGCACAGAAACATAGAAAATAAGAGCTGGAGTTAGCTAGTCAGCCCTTCCCACCTGCTCTGCCATTCAATATGCTCATGGTTGAACATCCAACTCAGTACCCTGTTCCTGTTTTCTCCCCATGCCTTCTGTTCAGTTCAGCCCCAAGAACTATATCAAACTCCTTCTCCAAAATATTAAATATTTTGGTCTCAACTGCTTTGTGCGGCAGAGAATTCCATAACTAAAGCCAATGAATTAGCATTTGAACTCTGACAAATCCCATGTACTTGTGGATTCAAAGTTGTACAGCCGCCAGGTACGAAGCCCAAAGAACCTTATACCTTTTAAAAGTTATGTGAACTTCCAGTAACTGACTGGAATGATTAGAGAAAAAGTCTTAAAAGTTTTGCACCTCTGGGGAGAATCACAACTGTTACAATGCAGGAAGAGGCCATTTCACCCATTTGCCTTCACTAGTTCTATTCCCTTGTGCTAATTTCCTGCCTTTTCCCCATATCAATGCAGTCTACTTCTATCTAAATAATCATCTAATACCCTCTTGAATCTGTCTCCACCACATATCCAGTTAATGTATTCCATACCCTAATTGCTCGCTGCATGATAAAAGGTAACCCCCCTCCAAGTCACACTTGCTTCACTGACATACACGCCCTCTCATTTCTTTTCTTTTACAAGCAGGAATAGGTTCTTCCTATCTACTCTATTCAGCTTGCTCATGATTTTGAAAACCTCTATCAAATCTCCTCAGTTTTCTGCTTTCCAAGGGGAATAGTCCCAACTGCAAGAAACAGTCTCAAAGCACTGACTAAACACTATTTGCGTAGGTAATTTATTCTCTAAACTACAGAAAAGTCCCATATTTAAGTTCAAAAAATATCAAAAATCCCTCTCCACGGTTATTTTTTTTTCTGGCCTTTAAATGTATACTTCAATCTTCAGGAATCAGCCCATATCTATTCTCAGCTCCTTATGGCTTGCATTCTTTTTCCCCTTTTCCAGATGGATAATTTCTAATCCCTGAACTGATTTTCAAGGTAAGGGATATGCTGAACCTTCCTATTCTTAGCCGAAGCTAGACAAAAATTTCCAGCGTTGTCTAAACTCTTGCAAACTTGGTTATTTGAATCTCTCCTTCTCACCCTCCGTATAGTGAATAATAAAGACATCTCCATCTTTCTGTGTTATATCTCTTTCTGACTCTTGCAAACAGACTTATCTGAGAGGTTCAGGGACATCTTAAGAAAGCCCCACAAGCCAATCTACAATGGCTTTCTACGACTTACTTCCCACATTCAAAAACTGAACACCCTGGCAACATCGATCACATGGACCCTGTATTTAGGTAGAAATGCTGATGATCTAGCTCCTAAATCCATTCTGCTTTGGAATTAAATAAACAGCTTAAAACCTGACATGCCCAACACCTCCCTGTAAATCCTGGAAACCATGGGTCAGTTCTTCCTTCAAGTTGTAAGAAATCCAAAGCAATGGTGGGCAGGATTTGATTCTGAGATTCCTGCCTCTTTTCTAACACTCCTAAATTTTTGAAGACATGGGATAAGGGTGCTGATGGTGAAAATCCTTTCCTAATTAGTCTACTCAAATTCAGCATAAATGGTTTTCCAATTGTCTAAAGGTGTGAACATCTTAGACCCTCTTTTCAATTAAAAGAGCTTGAGCCTCACTGTCTCTAGAGCATGATCCCTGTTACCATGATAGTTTTCCATTCTTCAATTAGAATCTCAAATGATAACAAATTTCTCAACTTCATATTTCTTATACTCTTTCAGATAAAGTGTATCATATACGAAATAGATGAATTTCCTCTCATGCGTCCCTAATTTGTACCCCGTTGAATAGTCAAAGGTTGTTACAGTAAATTGTGATACCACAGTCCTTCGACAGGGCTACTAGTCTCAACCTGTCAAAATGTACAAATGGTTAGAAGTTGTGAACAAGAAAATAAGCTGTCAAGTTAAAAAAGGTCAAACATTTGCAGTTCGAGTATAAATTCAGTTTGTCCGGTAAACACAATTGCACGTGTTTGTGGGTTCTGGGTTCTGGCTTCTGGCCAATATTCATGCCCCAATCAAATATCGGGGAAGAAACATATCGGTTGGTCATTCAAACCTCATTCAAACGTGAGAGATCTTGCAAAATAAGTTCTGCACTTGCTTCCATAACAAGAAACATTCCACTTCAAAACAAAGTAATATACTAATGTCACTTTAGGACAGCTGCGAGAAATGTGATAAAGGTATAATAAAAATTTTAAGCATTTCTTCAAAGAAAAGCTACAACACAGTGTCAGAGCTCTAGGAACGTTGATAGAACCATTTTGCCAAACCATAGCCCACTACTGAAAGTCAGAGATAAAGCTCCAACAGGGAATGGAGTGACAAATGGTGAAAATAATACCCTCTTTATAAAAGCTTCAAAATATTATGCAATCAAAACATAAATACAGACAGTAAGCATTTTATCTCCATTTTATCAGAGATAGGGGTGGGGGGCAGGGTCCAACACTGCACTGCAAATCTTTATAATTTACTTTCACTTTGGTCTCTAAATCATGTGACTGGTGGATAGATTATGACTGGTTAATAATTCTACACATTTTAAACTCTAAATGTCAAGAAGAAAACCCTTCATTCATATTTAAAAATGCCCCAAGGAAGTGGAAGTATAGCGATAATACCACTTGATCAGTAATGCAGAACCCCAAGCTAATGCTCTGGGCACACTAAATTCAAAATATCACCATTTGCCAATTAAAAATTTGGAATTAAAAATAGTCTAATGGTAACCATGTAACTACTGTCGATGTCAAGTAAACCCATCTGGTTTACTAGTGCCTTTTAGGGAAGGAAATCTATAGTCATTATCTTGTCTGTGCTATGCAACTCCAAACCCACAGCAATCTGGTTAGCCAAGAGCAATAAATGCTGGCCTAGCCAGTGTTGCCCACATTCAAATGAATAAATTACAAAATAAAATGTCAGTACAGTAGCTGGAAATGTGTAATCACTATCCCCCTCATGCTTTCCCTCTCCCATCTCCTGTGAGTTTCACACTAGTTTGTTCTTGCAAATCTCTTAACATTTTATCAGACAGTAACATTGGAGGAGCTCTGGGCTTAGAATACCTGATGACCAGAAATATACTGGTGAGCCCATTTTTGATCATGGCCAGTATAGGATCGAGTGAGACTAGGGAAGGACACGTTAAGTTTGGAAAATTCTATGCTTCAAGTAAATATAAGCTTCCACCCAGCATAGAAAAACTTTAAACATTTCAAAAGGCCACAAATGAAATCCATTTTTGGCGTTTTGTATCCATGCAGTAGCAATAAAGGGGTGGGGAGACCACTTGTTTTTGCTCACTACTTTCATCTATTTCCATACGTTGTACATTCACATCAAGTGTTTGTTTTTATTTAATAACTTGCTCCTGGAAGAAACACACTTTCTTTTGAAATACCTTGCATAAAAAGGATGTTTATTTAAGCATCCAGCTGCATTAATTACACCTTCCACTTCCCGTTCCAGCCTCTGCACAGTATGTCAGTGTCCAGTCACACAGCGGAGTGGTTGGATGACAGATGTACAGTACAGGTTTTGGCATTGGAGGAATCTGCACAGTAACTTAATAGTTTGTATCTGAGTTTCCACTCTTTTCCCATTTTCCTTATTTAATATGAGAAGAGAAAGAAGGAAGCTGTTTTTTACTGAGATAACAAGATATAGAGCTGGATGAACACAGCAGGCCAAGCAGCATCA